GCAAGAGATCGTGAGACAGAGAGAGAGAGAGAGAGAGAGAGAGAAATCAAATAACTCTCAGCCTCTCAAGTGGAGTGATCTCTCTGGGCTCGAAGCATTTTCCTTTTCTTTCAATATTTTTTTTTGGGGTCTTGGGGCGCTGCGAACCAGTTGAGCGACATTCCATATGAGGGGCGACAGGCTTCGGTTTCGGTTTCGGAGATGGCTAAGATTAATCAGCTGCCATAAGCCAAATGACAAGACATATTTGCTGTCCCGCAACCGTCCCACTCTTCCCACCTTCCCACCAGATCCACCAGATGTGCTCTAGACTTTGGCCTCTGTCCTCCCAGGTGTGGCTTTTGGGCTGGGGTGTTATTTTTGTGGCTTATTTGTGTTTATTTATGGCAAGGCTAGAAATGATACAACACCAAAATATACAAAAAATTAATTTCAAATTTGATTACAATAAACAAAAAATAAAATCACACCGATCGGAACGAATCGGTTCCACTTGTGAGCAGCCGCAGCAGCCTTTGATTTATTTATTTCGTCTCGTCTGCTCGGTCTCGTCTTAAAGTGTGCCAGGCCCCCATCCCCAACCACAACCCCAAGAGGTGCCTCATCTGTAGGTGTGCCTGTACCCAGTCTCGGGCCCAACCCAAAAAAAAAAAAATGCTGAAGAAGATTTAACAACCGCTTACAGGCCCAGCCAGAAAAAAATGTGAAATAAATTTATAGTTTTCTATTTAGATAGCTGGCCCGTAAATTATGCAAAGCCTCCCTCTCCTGCCAAACACAGATATTATGGATGGGAATCGGAATGAGATAGAGATTGAGAATGCGAATGGCTGCTGCCGGTGCTGTGCCTGGCTAGATCTTGCCCGAATTGGGTTACTTTCAACTTAATTTAAGGTCTTAAGGTTAGGCCAATAACAGCGGGCCAAATTGCGGGATGCTTTGGCCACAAGCCACCATCCACCATCCAGCATCCACAATCTACAGCAATAGAACGGCCCACGCCTGCTTCTGCTTCTTTAACGCTTCAATACTCCTCCGACAAAACCACCGATCCATCCATCGAAACTGGTTTTTTGTGCCTAACAACAATATGAATGAAGCTGAAGCTGAAGCTGAAGCCGTAGCCATCCAGCCATCCAGCCATCCGGAGCTCAATGCTCAATGGAAATGACAGCATACGTGTGGCCAAATAACAAAAAATACAAATAATACAAAGAATGATTTGATGGAAGCGTGGGCGATACCCGCTTATTAATTGTACATCTAAAAATATATATACTTAGGCATATATGGCCAGAGATTCGTCGTTGGCCAATCTCAACTCCAAAACGTATTTCATTCGCAAATTGTTGGCAGTTCTTGTCTCCGGCTAATGCTGAATCTCTTTGTTTGGCTGATTCCATGTCTTTTGAAAGGTCAAACTGCAGCAGCAGTTGGCTGTTTCTCGAAGGAGTGGTTCCTCAATAAAAATACTAATCGTATGTATATACGAACATTTTTATGACTTCTAGCTATGTCTACCCGCTGTCTCCTTCTCTCTCTCTCTCTCTCTCTCTCTCTGTCTGCCTTCTTCTAATAATTGCAAATGTGGCATCGAGACCCACTTAGAGCTACTGCCCACACACTCCACACATCAATAAAAACAATCTGTCCATGGCCATCTTGGAATTTAATTGCATTTGATATGCGGGTCTCTCTCTGGATACGTTTGGCAACACTGGAATGCAGTTTCAGCATAGATCACCCCATATGGAAAATACTTAAATATTCGCCATAATTTCAGCGGTCTCTAAATGAAAAACCCAAACGTTTCCAAATCGAATACAAATGAACAAGACGTTCGTAAATATAGCATTTCCATGCCCATTTTAGAAGTAAATTCCGTTCTAGGAATGTAGAGTATTATCTCCACGATTTGATTGCCATTTTTAAAGTATAGCCAGCCCACACGACAACAATAAACAATCATTCGCTATCCAACACTCCTCAATATTATGCAACACTTCTCAGTATTTTCCAACACTTATTAACGCACTCCACTCTTTTTACAGACTTTTCAGCTTCATTCTAGAAAGCTATCAAGTAGATCGAAACCATGTCCCACAAGACGAGCACACGACGGGCCACCGAACTGGAGTGTCCACTGGCCTCCCTGGGCAGGAATAGCAATGCGGTGCGCGATCAACTGGCAGCGGCACACTACCACCATCCGCATCCACTCAGCTCCAGTCCGCTGGATCCGCAGGCCTACAAAATGTCGCGAAAGTCACCGAACCTGAGTCTGGACACGAATGATGCGCTGGCATCGCGCAGCTCCACGCCGCACAGTGAACAACAGGCCACAGCCACGACGGCTGCCGTGCTCCACATGGTGCAACAGAAGGCGGCCACCTTTGAGCTGAGGGGCAGGCACACGCGCCAGGAGCAGAGCATCTACGGGGCCGCCCACTCCACCGCCTCGGTGGGGCGGCAGGTGAAGAAGTCGCCCGAAATGCCGGCTCCTGCCACAAGGGGCACTGCACCCGTGCCACAGCCGCGTAACTTTCTCACGCTGGAGCATGTCCTGCAGTATGGTGCCCAAAGGCCGAGCTGGCTGCATGGCAACAGTGCGGACACGGAGGACTCCAGCGACAATAATGTGGGTGGTGGTGGCGGAGGAAGTGGCAGTGGCGGTGGAGGCGGAGGCGGCAGGCGACGCACGCAGGGCGGACGCTGCAGCGTGCCCACAGTGCTGAGCAGCAACGGCGGCAGCAGCAATGGAGCCCAGTATCTGCTGGACAAGAAGATGGAGTCGCTGTATCTGGGGAATGCGCTGCGCGCCCTGCCCCTGGGCGCCGAGGCGAGTCAGTACCAAAACGAACGCTACTACCTGGAGGACTACAGCAGCGGCAGCGGCAATGAGCGGCTGCCAGGTGAGTGTTCCTTGCAGCCTAATCCCATGAAGAAATCGATCCTAACTGATGGTAATCCCTTTCAGAACGCCTTCATCATCCGCGCACCTCCAGCCCCAGCGAGACGAGTGGCTCGGATCGCTACCTGTTGAACCGCAGCACCAACTCGCCCGCCAACGCCTTCCAGCTGGATCACCACCACACCAAAGTGCAGAGCCTCTCCGACGGCCTGTGCAATCTGGGACGCTTCTCGCCCAGCCTCGATCAGGGCTATGCCACGCTCGTCTCACCTTCACCCACCGGCCACCACTCGAGCGGAGCGGGCAATGTCACCACCTCCACGACCACCAGCGGCGGCGGAGGCATTATGGCCAGCAGTACACCCACCACCACCCCTCGTCGTGGAGCATCCAGTGGAGCAGGCGCTGGTGGAGGAGGAGTAGGCGGAGGCGGCGGCGGCGGCACTGTGCCAGGAACAGCTATTGGGCCACCGCCCTGGAACCGCAAGGGTCCCTTCCGCTGTGGCCCCTACTTTGATCGCCTGCCCGACGAGACCGTTGTCCGCATCTTCAGCTGGCTGGACAGCTGCGAGCTGTGCAGCGTGGCGCGAGTCTGTCGCAGATTCGAGCAGGTGGCCTGGCGTCCCGTGCTCTGGAAGTGCATCACACTGCGGGGCGAACATCTAAACGGCGACAAGACCCTGAAGATGATCTTCCGCCAGCTGTGCGGCCAGAGCTGCAATGGCGCCTGCCCGGAGGTGGAGCGCGTGATGCTCGCCGATGGCTGCCGCATCTCGGACAAGGGTCTCCAGCTGCTAACGCGACGCTGCCCGGAGCTGACGCACCTGCAGCTGCAGACCTGTGTGGGCGTCTCCAATCAGGCGCTGGTCGAGGCCCTGACCAAGTGCAGCAATCTGCAGCATCTGGATGTGACAGGTAACAGCTTCCACAGCCTCTAATAAGCCAAAGCTAACTTTTATCCGTATTTACAGGCTGCAGTCAGGTGAGCAGCATCAGTCCCAATCCACATGTGGAGCCGCCGAGACGCTTGCTGCTGCAATATCTGGATCTGACCGACTGCATGGCCATCGATGACATGGGCCTGAAGATCGTGGTCAAGAACTGCCCCCAGCTGGTGTACCTTTATCTGCGGCGCTGCATACAAATCACGGGTAGGCAGAGTGCAGCACATGGCCAATTCCTTTCTAAAACTCTTCTGCAATCTCTTACAGATGCGGGTCTGAAGTTTGTGCCCAGCTTTTGTGTCTCGCTGAAGGAGCTGAGCGTCTCCGATTGCCTCAACATCACCGACTTTGGGCTGTACGAGCTGGCTAAGCTGGGTGCCGCGCTGCGCTATCTGTCCGTGGCCAAGTGCGAGCGAGTGTCCGATGCGGGGCTGAAGGTGATTGCCCGGCGCTGCTACAAGTTGCGATACCTGAATGCCCGCGGCTGCGAAGCCGTCAGCGATGACTCCATCACCGTTCTGGCCAGGTCCTGTCCGCGCCTGCGCGCCCTGGACATCGGCAAGTGCGATGTGAGCGATGCCGGACTGCGTGCCCTGGCCGAGAGCTGCCCCAACCTCAAGAAGCTGAGCCTGCGCAACTGTGATATGATTACGGATCGGGGCGTCCAGTGCATTGCCTACTACTGCCGCGGGCTGCAGCAGCTGAACATCCAGGACTGTCAGATATCCATCGAGGGCTATCGGGCGGTGAAGAAGTACTGCAAACGCTGCATCATAGAGCACACCAATCCGGGTTTCTGTTGAGCAGCAAAAACAGCATGAAGGAGGAAGAGAAAGGATCGCAAATACAAAGCAAAGCAAAGCAAAGCAAAGCAAAGAGGCAGGCCATAAATTCAATGCAAATGATTGTTAAGAACAACAACTGCACACAAATAATTCTGTTAGCCAGGCAGCGATAAATCGTGGCCAAGTTCAAGTTTTAGCCCGAAATGATCAATGATTTTTAGTTGTTATTGTAAATTGTATATACGTACCCCCGAAACGGAAGCTGAAACAGGATTTTAGAGCATAATTCTTTCGATGCAGAGAGACTTTGTTTAAGTAGACTAATTCTTGCTTAATAAATTATTTGCCACGATCTAGATAGTGATACATGTCCGGCATTAGAACGGTTCATTTGAGCAGAATACTTCGGGGATGCACCTCCAGCTGCTGTCGCGTCAAGTGCCTGCCCTTGGTCCTTCCCTTTCCCACCTTGTGCAGCCGATCCAGGACAATGGTGGCCTTCACATCCGACGGATTGCCGGCTGCCATTGTGGCCTCCAGCCAGTTGCCACGATTCACATACGGTCGAATCTCGATGCGGGTGCAATTTCCCTTGCGTAGAAATTTGCTGATGGTCTCCAGGCAGCGTATATCCTCTATGGTGACCATTGTCTTGTCATTGTTCCGCTTAATCGCCCGCTTATCAGCGTTCATCTTTACCAGTTGCCTCTCCATCTCCGGCTGTGCCGGGAGCCCTGCGTCTGATAGCTCCGATATCTCCATTATTTTCAACCGCTCCTCCAGCGAGTCGACGGGCATCTTCTTCTGCAGTGCTGACAGTTGCTGCCTCTTTTTTGGTGTCATTCTGTGCTTGGTGCGCTCAAGGCGATCCAGTTCTTGTCTTATATAGTCCATCGTTTCCATCTGCTTCCTGAGATGCTCTGCCTCTTGCTGGAAGTCTGTCTGCATGCGTGCGCGATGGGCCTGGAAGCGACGCAGCTGACTGCGTATGACCTGCACTTTCCTCTGCTCATTGTAGTGCTCTCGTATCAGTCGGAAGTATAATTTCTTCCAGCTGTCGGTCTTCTTTCTGACCATATTAGTTAAATTTTGAATTTAGATAAATGTAGAAATCGAACCGAAATCAAACATATGAACATGGCTGCTATTTGATATGTATTTCCAATGAGTTGGCAGCGCAGCAAGTGTGAAGTTATCGAATAAATTGTTAGCCCATTGTCGACCAGGTGGGCTTTAAAAACACTCACGAAAACTGTAAGAATATAAGCTCAATTCTAATTGGGTTAATTCTTTCTTTTTCTCTGTATTTTTTTGGTAAATTTATCGGTATTTTTCCGTGGGTCTATCGGTATATTGTATCGATAGATCCTGAAACAGCTGAAAACAGCTGGTGTGCCGATTTTAGGTTATGACATTGTATAATTGTACATATTGTCAAAAAAACTAAATTGTGATTGAAACAAATACAATCGCGTATCAGATATACGCCAAAATTCAGGGGCTTCAGTGCGAACACAACATCAATGGCTAAGTACCTTGCACAAATCATCGTTCTGGGTGCTCAGGCAGTGGGACGCGCTTTTACCAAGGCGCTCAGGCAGGAGATAGCCGCATCCCAGGAGGCCGCCCGTCGAGCAGGTGGCGGCAAGCAAGGCGACAAGACTGCAGAGTCAAATCTGCGCACAGGTAAGCCGGTAAACTCAATTAATGAAGTACCATGATTCACTCTCCATTTACTTTCCAGGCATGACCGTTGAGGAGGCCAAGCAAATCCTGAATGTGGACGACCTGAAGAACGTGGACTGCATTGTCAAGAACTACGAGCATCTGTTCAGTGTGAATGAGCGCGGTAAAGGCGGTTCCTTCTATCTGCAGTCAAAGGTCTTCCGGGCCAAAGAGCGCCTCGATCAAGAACTGAAAGCACAGCGGCCACATCCACCGAAAGACGATCCCGCGGCAGAGGCTGAGGCGGAAGCGCCGCCAAGAAGGGGGCGGCAAGTACGCTGATTCCATGCCTGATGTACCTCCAAACGAAAATAATGATTAGCTTATAATTGATTTATAAAATATGTGTTAAGTACGAGGACCACTTGAGTGTTGCCTGTAAATAGATTTGAATGAACAAAGTATTCTACATTTGTTCATATTTCTACTCAATATGGTCTTGTGGGTGTGCAATTGTTACAAATACATCTATTCAAACATGATATTCTGCAATGCAACATTTCATCCAATTTGAATTAAATTTCAAAGCCAGCCGTTCGCTCAACTAGGGATGATACAAATGATTTTCAAGCATGTATCGATATTTCCAACTTTTTTAACTTTTGCCGTTTTGATTTAATTTAATTGATTTATTTTAGAAAAAAAATAACCAAGTGGTGAGGAGAAAAATTTTTTTTTCCATCGTAAACAGTTATATTTCAAGTGCTTCGAACATTATGAAACTTGAACGATTTCTTGCATTTTAGGTGAAATATATAATTTGGATTAGTAAGTAAACAGAATAGATGCAACTACAAGAATCACTTGAATAAAAAAATTTTTTTCATAAAATAGAAAAATAGGGAGCTATTTAGAAAATGAATGGGTATATTAGGATACATTTCTAGTCGTCCGGTATATTTAATCGATTAGACCACGGTCACACTCATCAGCTGATTCAAACAAATTGTATATTTTCTGCGCAGTTTTAAACTTAGACGTGTCAATTGTTTATTTAATCGCATTCATTAACAACGCCAAAAACATCTGGCACATGCGCAGACGTTAGCCAGAAATTCCAGCGCACAAAGGAAAACCCTCCACCAGGAAAACGCGCTGCACAAACAGAAGTGTGTGTTGCTGGCGACCTCTGCGGGGAAGAGATTCGTGGATCCATTGGGGCTTTCCAGTAACTACCGACGAAGACAAGAGAGAAACTCAGAGCGACGCCACGGACAAGTACGTACACGGTATTTGAGGAACTGAAATTCCTCTGCTCTGTCAGTTTTCAGAGGACCTTCGAAGTAGGCAGCCGTAAAAACCAAAAGTTCCCACTTGTCTTTGGAGCAATTCCCCCAATCCAAACCGAGAAAAAAGAAAACCTCAAGTGGTAAATTGCCATTGCCAGGGCGTTATTATTACTATATGCATATATCCAAGTGAAATAAGAACGGTGGTGCCGAGATATCGATCGAATCGTGAAATTGTGCACAATAGCAACGAATTATTCGCTCGTTTCAGACAATTTATATGCCTGTTTTATTGATTTTCCCTGCCTGCCCTCTCAGGTCTCTTGTGCAACGCCATATTGCGATAAAAAATCTGAATTGCTTTTCTTTCAATCATCTTGCAGCGTGCGAAAATAGAAATTAAATGCGAAAATTTACATAACTCCCGAGCGAGAGTTGAAAGTGAAACTTCTGTGGTGCGACACACTGAAAGAAACGGAAACGAGAACAGAACTTATTACAAAATTTCTGCCAAGTGTAGCAAAAGTTGAGCGAACGAGGAGCGAGAGAAAGAGAGAAGCACCAGCAGCAGCCAGCCAGAAGCCTTTGCAGGGAGCGACGAGAGTGTCGAGAGAGCCGAACGTGCGCACGTTTTTTTGGTTTTTGGAGCCTCGTGGGGCATTCGTTTTGTGTACATCTCCGTGCAGGACATACCACACGACACTCCACTCGGACGCAGGACGCAGCAGCAGCGCACCAGCAGGCAGAGCCCCCAAGCAGGCTAATCCTTTAAAGCATCATCAACAGCCACACAAAACGCACCAAACATGTTTTCGGGTCTAACAAATCAATTTACTTCGCTGGTGGGCGCCGTCAAGGGCGGCGCTGGCGATGAGGATGTCCCAGCACCAACAGGAGAAGCGGCTCCCGCTGCCGTCGCACCCACCACTTCCGCTGAGGCGGTGGCCAGTGCTTCAATAGATCAGGAAGCAGCTGCTGCTGCCGCTGCAGCTGGCGGTGAGGGACTCGAAGGCGAGGAAGCTGGCAAAAGGTGAGTCCCATCTTACTGTCCCACACTATATACACATTAATCTCATCTCATCACATCTCATTCATGGTTTGCTCATCTTCCTAGCCTGCCTATCTGCCACTTTGGCCTTTTCCATGCCGCCTGACAGGCTTCTGTCTCTGTGCCGTGCCGTGCCTCTGTCCTGACATGGCGTGCCACTATGACCTTGCTATTTGTACCTTTTAGCATTTGGCCAACTGCAGGCAGTCAGCCCCGCCTCCGTCGGCCATTTATCATATTTGAGCTGGAGTTCTCTGGAGTTGCTTCTGTTCTCCTCCCTGCAGCAGTCTAAAGCTGGCATTCGGCACGCTCTCACGTGACTGAACATAATAGCTTAAACTGCAAACCAAATTCCTGATAAACTCCGCATACGGGTCGGTATAATATATTTCGTTTGTTGTTGCCTGACCCAAACTTTGATTGCAACCAATTTCGGCTTGTGCAATGAAAATTCAAAGAAAATTGGCTAAATTGGCTTGTGGTTAGAATTGTTCCATTGAATTGTGGATCTAAATGAGGATTTCCTGAGGTTTTCTTTGATTATTCAATGCAAAGTTTGGCCATTTTGAATAGGGGTTCTATGTATATTCAGGTCATGGCATATAGATTTGTGGCACATTTTGAGTGCTTTGTCTACGTTTAACTTGTAGATTTTTTTACTAACTGCTTGGTCATGGCACAGATACGTTCTATCGGTCAAATACCGAGAAATTGACAATGAAAGGGCAATGAATGGAGTACTTGAGGAGCACTTGGGCAGAAGTTGCTTAACTTATTTAATTGATTTTTGTAATCGCTACCCAAGCATTTTCTCTGCTTTTCAATTGAGAAATTCAGTTAACTAAATCCGATTTCGAAAATATGTAAAAATGTGTCTTTTCTTGGCTTCTTCAACCTAAAAATTAATGATTGTTTGGCGTACATTTACGCCGCTTTCCGCCTACGCATTTGACCTTTACCTCTCTGTTTGTCCTGGACACTTCATCAATCTCTGATAAACATTCCGCACCCAAAATTGTGTACCACAGCGGCTCCTCCATTCATTCTGGGTAAACACTGTCACCTTAGTACTGCTATGGCTCGTCGCTCCTTCTAGTTCCTTTTGCAAGCACAAATGAAAATAAAATCCAATTATTTCTGGTGGCTGTTGGACAAGTTAAGCCTCATGTGATGGCCGTGTTAATGCCACAAGTTGCTCTCTAATCCGTTAGACAAGCCCAAGGCGCGCCCACTCCATTAACATTGAATCTATTTTTCACTTAATTTCGCGCATTAATATTTAATTGTGTGTGGAGCTGAGCTCGAGGATGTCAAACCCCGAGACGATGAGGGGGCACGTTCTGAAGCCAGCTGCCAACAGCTGGTGCCAGACGACATTCTGGTTAGTTGCCACCTCTACTATCTCTCCTTTCCTTTGACTTTGATGTGGATGTGTCACACGGCCTATTGCACGTTCTGTAGCCCCGAAGGACCCCCGCTTTCACTATCAATTGACATTGACAAGTTGGACAAGCTTCTCTGCTCGTTTCGACGGTTTTCATGTACGCTTTGCTTCGCATTTCTTTGCTTTTGTTTTGTTGTGTAAAATACATTTTGCACGTGGCTTATGCATAACCACAAAATGTTGAGTCATTCGAGCAGAGGGCTCTCCCGCTGAGCACGGGTCCGCCTCCTCTCTCTCTCTCTCTCTCTATGCGTGTACATTCAGTTTTTTGACCAGCTTTTTGTGTGTGCGAAAAACTGTCACCAATGTCAGGCAGACCCACAGCCAGAGGGTACGGTGAGGGCGGTGGGTTGGACAGGCAGGATATGTTCCTTTTTGGTGGTTGCTTTCCAGTTTCCAGTTGACTTTTGCTCGTTCTGTGGATCGATACAAAGAGAGAACTGTTACGCTCTCTCCTCGCTCTCTTTCACTCTCTCTCTGCAAAATGTGCACATGTGATGTAGCCCCCAAAAAACGAGTAAAAACGACGCCATCTGCCTTGGCCTCCTGCTCTGCTCCAGTGGCTTTCCCTAGAACGAGCTTCCCCGCTCCCTCCCCCCGTTTCTGTGGTCCGCCTTTTGCCAGCCTATTAATAATTGTGCATTCATAAAACGTGTGTGTCCCGATGGGCCCCTTCTATGGCACAGCAATCACCGCTAAATCTCTATAATTTTCAATGAATTAATTTATTT